GAGGAAATAATTTTCATAGCAAATGCACTATTATAAGTGATGCTTTAATGGTATAATTTTAACTGTAATAATTGTTACAAATGATTATTAAGTATGTTAAGCATGTTGGAATTAGTTATACACAATGCAACTTCAGTATAAAAAGGTAGAATTTTCATTTTATCTTAAACGTATCTGGTCATCTTTATGAAGTGTCACTTATTGAGGAAGGAGGAAGAAATGGTGTTCTTGGCTAAACTTAGTGTTTTATCAGCTTTTTCAGATAAAGTTCAGTTTTATTAGGTTAAAGTTCTTCAGACTTTGCTCTGTACTTCCTCCATTGTCCTAAAATGACAGAGTCTGTGAGAGGAGTGTAAGGACATGTGTCTTTGGCAGGTTGACGGAACAGAACCTCAAAATCCAGGACAATAGCTGGCCCAGATACACAGGTGCATATAAGCCTTTGGAGGGTGGAGTAATCAGTGAGACCAGCAATGTGGAAGCATCTGAAGGAGCAGCAAAAGAGCCAGCATTTGGAATCTGAAGAACTCCAGGAACAGAAGACCAATCCCAGCCCCCACATCCAGAGGCCAAGATCAGCTCCATACCTAGCACATTTCTGGGCTCTAATATGCACACTATCACAGAACTGTAAACACCAGAGGTATTTTACTACTTTTTCCCTTGTTTGTCTGATTGGTTATCCCTGTCCTGTCTAGTTGGATGTCATCTTGTTTTGTTTTGAGTTTTGTGGTTATTTTTTTTTCTTCTTCTCTTCTCTCTTTGGTCTCCTTTTCCTTTCTTTTTGATATTTCTTTCTTCTTTTTCACTGTTTAGGTTTGTTACCTTTTTTTTGTTTTCTTCTACTGGTCCTTTTTGCTCAACTACTTCTTGAATTTAAACTTTCAAGTGAGTAATCAGTGGCTCTGCCCTTTCTGATTACTCTACATTCTATATCATTCTTGCCCTCCTGTGTCCTCAGGTTTCTGGTGATCATCCGTTGACCTCTAGTCTTAATTCTAATGTAGCTAATCTCATTCATCACTTTAGCCTGGCCCCTAACCATCTATTCCTCCCACCCCTCACAGAAAGATAAAATCACTCCATTAAAGGGAAAGTTAGTGCATACAAGTGCACATTAGAAGTTTGATTTTGTTATAGATCTTAAAGTTTGCTCTTGTGGTCAGAAGTGGCAGGTCAGTGTCATCATAGTTTGTCAGTAGGTAAGCTATACTTGATACTATAGCTATTACTAACTACTATTTTGGCCAGGATGTCATAGATGTATCTCCCCAGTATGATAACACTGTGATTGTATAGGGTCATAATCAACACCACAGCCAGGTAAGTATCAAAGCATTGGGAGCTGAGTCAAACAGTAATTTTGAATTCTTTACAAATTGGAAAGGTAGGTTCTTGGGATAGCTATAGAGCTAAAGGACAGTCCTAAAAAACACACATCTCCTAGGGTAGCCTCAATACTAGTGATAAAGCTATATATTACAAGAAATCAGCAAGCATCAACATACAATAAAAACAAAATATAATAAAAAAGGGAAAATAGAAAATGACAAAACTAAGAAACAAAATGCAACCCCAAACCCCCAGGCCACCAAGGACAACTCTTAAATTCAATGATATAGATAAAATTGGAAGTCAAACATTGGAACTTTCTGAAATGATAATGACATGTGTCAAAAAACAAGTGAAAAAAGCAATAGAGAAAATAATCTCTCGGTACAAAAAGAAATTATGCTTAAAATCAAAGATATTAGAAAATAACAAATTAAATATTAGATGAGTTTAGAATAATTATGGAAACAAAAATGTCCAACATCAGAAAGAGATGGAACTCATAAAACAGCTCCAAACAGAAATCCAAGAGATTAAAGCCACCAGATTGAATGAAAGAAAGAATAGAATTTCAGATCCTGAAGACAGAATTGCAGCTAGTGATCATGACAAGAAAGGTATCTTAAAAATAGCAAGAGATCGTGAAAAATCAATCCAATGGATTGATTTTTATCATATTCATGAAGCAAAGAATATAAGATTGACTAGAGTCAATGAGAAAGCTGTAAACAGCACAAATGCCATATAGAAAAACTCTTCACAGAAATAATGCCATAAAACTTCCCAAGTGTGTATAAAGAATTTGACATACAAATAACTGAAGCACATAGAAATCTAAAAGCCATAAACAAAACTACACCACAAATAAAATAATCAGGATTCCAGAAATTCTGCACAAGAATCCAATATGAAAAGCTGTTGCAGAAAAATCTTTTAATCTTTCACCTATAAAGGCAAGTCCATCGGAATCACAGCAGACTTCTCAACACAAACATCAAGTCAAGAAGATACTGAACTGAAGTATTTCAAGTCCTGAAAGGAAACAACATCCAATCCAAATTGATATACCCTGCAAACTTATCTTTCAAAATTAATGGAGAAATAAAACTCCATGACAAAGAATAACTAGAGCAATTTATGACCACCAAGCCAATCCTACAAAAAGTACTGAAAGATATTCTAGACAGAGGTAAAAATGACCATAAGCCAACCCTACAGAGAATACTGAAAGATGTTCTAGACAGAGGTAAAAATGACCACAATTCCAAGAACAACAAGAGAAAGAAATCACCAGGTGGGGCATGCAATTAAACAGAGGGTAAAGGTAGGAAAATACCATGACAAAGATAATCTAATACATCTCAGAAAATTGTTACTACTGTTACCTACTGAGGAACTTCCAGCAGTTAGCGAAAGTAGTCTGTCTAACTATGATGCCCGTACAAGGTTATTTAAATATGGTATCCTCTCAAAAGTGCAACAATTGGGGCAGAATTTCACTGTACTTGAGTTTTCAACATACCAATCTGGCTATTTTTAAGGTCACAAGTCCTTGTATCACATACTTCTGGTGAGAGTGATTAAAATGTGTTAGGTTGCCTTCCTCCAGCTCTTTTTTCTCTTTCCCACAATTTTCTGAGCCAAAAATCATAATTTTCTTCTATTTTACCTACCTTAAAGCCATAATCTTCCTTGTATCAATCTCTGGCCTAATTTTTTATAGTGGAATGGCATACTTTATTTTTACTATGAGAGAAAGTTTATCATTTGGTCCACCAGGCCTAGCCTTGAGGCACCATAAACAAGTATCTAATTTACTCCTTGAGATTGTCTTTAAGCCTAACAACTTGCTTAAAAACTTATATTGTCTATTAAAAGTCATATATTAGGTAACTTTCTTTTATATTTTTATGCGATTATCCAAACCCTCTGCACTAAGGTGCCTTAGATTCAATTGATTTTATACTCAGAAAGGCACATTAATCTCTCAAAACAGTATCTCCTCCTCCATGATATATTCTACCCTACAAACAATCATGTTAATTGCATTCTTTTTTTAATTTTTTTTTAAACTTTTTTAAACTTTTTATCGGTACCGGGGATCAAACTCATGGCCTGCTTGCAAGGCAGGTGCTTATGCTGCTGAGCTAAATCCCCAGCCCCAATCATGTTAATTTTCCATTAAAGTTTTTTAGAAATTTCTCATTCTCTAAAGATAAAATCATTTTAGAGGTTTCTCTGACAATCCAGACTAGGTTAAAATTTTTGTGGGCACGTCTATGAGTACCCCTAACAGCTCTTTCTTTACTCTCATACTTTTTAAACATCTACCTTTCGGGATAACTTTGAAACTTCCATATCCAGTATGTTGTCCTGGACACAGATGAGTAACAAATGTTTGTGAGAGTTATAGTTTTAATTATATGTATATTTTCACTAATACATCAATAAATTATTTTAGTTTACATAGTTCTTTTATAGATCTATAAATTTGGTAATATTTTGAAAAATGAACCCACTGTGTTTGGTCTGACAATATCAATTTCGTTACAGAGACCTAAGATTCTGAACACAAGAATGTTACAAGCAAGTACCATATTGTCATATCTCCTGACAGGTAATAGCTTACTCTCTCCTTAGAGATACTCCTATCTTAACACAAGAATCTTTTCACACTCAAAAAGGAGATCGATCTTTTTTAAAGCTAAGTTCATAATTTGGACATTTAACTTTACAGTACCAATTATCTTTCACAGATTTGTATCCACTTGCAGTTATGCTAAGTTTTTTCACAGGTTTATTTTACCTAAAGCTGGTCTTCCATTTTATTAGGAGGCTTCAATTAACTAAATTTAATTGTGTTATAGGGAAATGGAAGTGACTAGAAATAGTAGCATAGAGCAATCTATATGTAAATTATGTCTTTATTAACATTTGTTTGAAATTGTTACATTAATAAAAAGGAACTTAATTTTCAACAAGCACATACAATACAAAAAAGTGGGGGTATCACTATTTCTGATTAAAGTAGCAACAAAAAAACTAAAAATTACTCCAAGGAAACAAATGGGAACAGAAGGTCAGCAGGCTACAACTCATATCTATTTTATGTTAAAAAAAAATACTGCATATTCACTAAGCATACTGTAGAAATTAAAATGAAAATAAATTTGCATACAAGATGAGGGTAATTTGAGGAAGCCCAAGTCAATCTTCATTTTGCACTGTAGTGAAAGGTTACTTCCACACACAGGAGAAGGGCTGCTCTCCACCCCCTCATTAGCGTTTAGAACAATGCCTGGCCCAAAGCGCGCATTTAATACTATCTGCTGAATGAAAGAAGCTTGTATGCCAAGGCTGGTAAGTGGCTGTCACCCAAAGCATGTCTGCCGCCTTTTCAGCAGGCTAGCTGGCAACCTCTCATTCTCCTCCTTCCCAGCAGTAATGCGCCCCCACACAGGGTGGCCTAAACGCTATCCCCACGCCGCGCCACCCACCAGGGTGACCGCTCCTTTCCCACACAGCGGCAACTTTTCCTGAGGAACGTCGTCGGGTTGAGTGGGAAAGCAAGGGGCCAGGAGGTCCACGGGGTACAGCGGCCCGCTGGCCCCCATTCCCGGATAAAGGGCCAGGGAGCTTGTTTTGCTAGTCTTACACAAACAACCAACCTGGTCGCCCTGGCCTCCCGGGGCAGACGCCTCCGTACCAATTCGGGCTCAGCCTGACACCCTGAGGAAAGAGAAAACGCCGAAACGCCTTCGGCACGACAGAGTGCAAGCCAAGCCTGCCACGCCGAGCGCGGCCACCGTCTCCCGCGTCCCGCGCGCTGCGTCGACAGACGCCCCCGCGCGAGGTCGCCCGGGCTGCGGCGCAAGGGCAGCCGGGGGCGCGTGCGCGCGCACGGCCGGGTGGGGGCGCCGCGCGCCAGCAGGTGGGCGCGTCCTCCCCGCGCGCGTGCGCGAGTCCTCTGCCTCACGTTCCCCGCGCCTCCTGCGCTCTCCCCGCCGAGAGCGCGCGCCTCCCGCTGTCGCGCCAGGTCCTGCTCGGTCTCTGCCAGCCGCACACTCGCTGGAGCTCCTGCCACGACCGTCGTCTCGGCCGCGGCTCCCCAACCCGGCGGCTCAGTCGCGGTCCCCAGCCTCGCGGCTGCCTCCGCCACTCCCCCTTCCCTTTCCCGCCCTTCTCTCCCACCCGGCCCGCCGGGGAAGCCTGGATCCGGAGCCGGCGGGCTCGAGAAAGCGGTTGGAAGATGGAGGTCCCGCGCCTGGATCATGCCCTCAACAGCCCCACCAGCCCCTGTGAGGAGGTGATCAAGAACCTTAGCCTGGAGGCCATTCAGCTGTGCGACCGGGACGGTAAGAGCGGCCGCCGCCGCCGCCGCCGCTGCCGCCACCGTGGGGAGAGGGGCCGAGCCCGGGTCCCGCGCCGACCGCTCGGCAGCCGGGTCTTTTGTTTTCTGCCGGTACGCGAATAAATGCAGGTGCAGAGCCCTGCGCTCACCTTCGCTCCAGAAACAAAAGGGCCCCAGGCTGGCGCTTGGCGCGGGAAGTGCCTGCGCCCGCCCGTCCCCGGCGAGGGCGCCCTTCGCGGCCGCCGCTCCTGCCCCGACCCCGCGTTCCCAGCTTTGCCGCAGTCGTTGATTTCCTGGGTCTCCCAGCACCGCGGGGAAATGCCCTCTGCGTGTTTCCAGCGGCCACCACACTCGCACGTATTAGTTAGCAACCTCTGCCTAGAAACTTGGCAGGTTTTTTGTTTTTGTTTTTGTTTTAAATAAAGCTCCTATTTTCAGAGTCCCCAGAATGAGTGATTTCTTTTTATCCTCTCAACTGGGGTGAGCAGGAGTTTTTCCTGCGAGGAAACAGAAAAGCGGTGCATTTCAGCACCAAGGACAGACACTAGCTTCGTGGTGCTAGGAGTGATTCAGAGGCTGTCAAAAATCTGTAAAGGAATTGGCCAGGTAGATCCGCTGTGATTCAGAAGGTGGCAAGTGTACACCAGTGTGTGTTGTATCGTGATTCTGTTGTTAAAATTGTCAGTCTCCTAAACTAGGAAATTGAAGGTCTGCGTGTCAAAGGGATAAGCCAGTGCTGTGTACAGCGTGGGTAGTGCCAGTGCTTCTGTATTAGTTGGACCAGTTGAAGAGTGAATCCTATCTCACTAATGTGGAATAAAACTTCCTTGGTAAAGAAGTCATCTGATTAGTAATTGGTTGGCCAAGGAACTGTAAAATTCTACATCAAAGGAAAACCAATTTACATGTTGCCAAGAGGACCTTGAATACTTTGGACTATAAATGAAATTAACGTTTAACTTAGCGATAACAATAGTAAAACATTTAAAAACCAAGGTTAGGTAATGATACCAGTATGCTCAGAGGATAAAATTTATTAGTGTAACCTGAATAGAGAGCAGAGATCTTATTTCTAAAGTCATTTAAATGATAATTTGTTTTTGTTGCTAGTGTATTTAGATCAATTGAGCACCAGGTTTATTTATGAATAGTTATAATTTATTAGTTAATATAAAATTATATTTAATAATTTTGAATCCCAGGATTCAAATACTTTGAAACCAAGGATATTTGAAATTATTTGTGTAACAGGATCAAAGTGAATAAACAAATATTCCTATAAAGGCTTCTTGTATTTTCCTTATTCATGAAATATTTTGGTTAACATAGTAGTAATTATATATATTTGTGGTATCTAAAAATCATTTTGTGTGCCATGTACAAACTTAGGTTTGGACTATAATGATTATTTTTATACATTGAAAGTCATCTGGATTTTAATTTATACCTTCATGACATGACTTTTTGTAATATTACAATTGCAAATTACAAATATTTTTGTTTAGATTGCTTTGAGAGAAAATACAAATATTTTGTTTAGATTGCTTTGAGAGAAAAGATTCTATTGAAGGAGATTTCATTTACATTTACTTCTATGATTTATCAGAAGCTCATTCTTGCAGTAACTGGAAATAAGTAATTCATATTGCTCCTTAGACTCCATTAATCTCAGTAGTTAAAATTTAATTCACCATATTTCAAAGAGGAAATAAAGTTTGGAAATTTTTCTACAGAGTTTACAAAGAGTCAATGTAGAATCCAAAATTAATGCTTCGTTTACTGTTGTTTCTTATATTAGAGTGGTAGCTATATAATTCTGCTAATTATCTTAGTTGTTTCTGTTCACTTGAATCCTGCAAAATGAGCAAATTATGTAACATTTAATTGGGGGTACTGGCAATAAACTGTATCTATGAAAATTACTATTTACAGAACACTGATTTTTGCACAGACTAATCAGGTCTTATTTTATAAACTAGCTTATGGCAATAAGTACAAAGAGATCATTCTATTAGAAGAAGTGTAAAAATGTGGAAAAACTTGTGTAGAGAGATAAATGTTTAACTTTTTCTTTGTGGTCCTACTTTATGTATCAAATTTTAAGTTGACTTCATACCAGTAATATAGAGGGGATAGTATAGTTGTTTTTACACAATAATTTTTAAAATGTTTCATTTAATTTGTTGACCAGGCCTTACTTAGTATCATTTTATATTAAGATAATTTCCAGCTAGATGCTATTTGCTTCTTTTACTTATTTCACTTTCCTTTTCTCATGTTTCATTATTTTACTTCTATAAATAATTAATGAAAAGGCAAGGATATAGCAGAGTATAGAAGAAAATATGTTTTTGTGGCTAACTACATAAAAAGAGCTACATTTTCATAATTTTATGGTCATAGAAATATATTTGTTTGCTCTTTGTCTAAGTTTTGCTGTACTGTTAATTTTGTAATAAAAATAAGAGAAATCTTGATTCCTTATAAGTAGAATAAAGTAAGATGGGAAAAACATGGTATGATTGTTAAATATACAGTGTTTTTATCATCTTCATTTATAAGTGTTTTAAATTTTACAATGTTTTGCTTGTTACATGAACTAAAAACTATATCTGTGTTGACTGTCATGTATTGCTTTGGCCTTTCTATGTTGTCTGCCTATTACTTGCCCATTTTTCTATTAATTGATGTTTACATTTTTAGCATTGTTTCATAATGTTTATTTTTTCATAGTTTCTCAAAATATTTAATCATCTTTGAAGAATACATTGGTGTTTAAATGGTCACGTGACTGGATTTTTAATGAAGTAACACACACACACCGCAAAACACATAAACACCACATGTCATGGGTAGTCTTTCTGAGGCATATGTACTTTGGTTTCTAGTGTGTGGCCCCTGCCTAGGTGTTAGTTACTCATAATTCGAAGTGAAGAATCTGAATGGGTTTCTGTTAGGAAATGCTTGGAAGATGTACTCTGCCAGAGTTGTTTCTATTAATCTCTATTGCAAATAGAAAATAATTTTTTTCTTCATACTTCTGAGGTAAATTGCATACATACTCTTATACTTTATTAATTTTTAGAAAAATTGAAGAATGAAATCAGTTTTTCATCTCAAGCATCAGTAATATAGGAACCTATTTATAGTTTGTTTCTATGGTTATACTCACTAACCTATAACAAATAGCACTTTACTCCATAGGCGGAATTCTTTATTACTTCTGCTTTTTAAATAATTTTATCATATATATCTATATGTATTTATACACATACATACATATATGCATACATGTGCGTCCTAAAAAGAAATGATTTATCTCCATGATTGCTTACTAATCCAAGCTCCCTCTACCCTTGTTATAAAGAAGATATTGTAAAATTAATTTACTTTATGGCTCTAATATCACTCTCAAAGCTTCCTGGGTTTAAAAATTGTTATTTCTACGAGTAGGGTATTTCATGGCTGCCTATATACAGTTTATGGAGTTTTATAAAAACTCTATCTTCTAAAAATTTGACAGAAGCCAACAGATTTCTCTGTCTTTGTCTCTGATAGTGGTTCTGTGGAGAAAAAAAAATTCTTTAAATATGGACTTTAACCTATCTATTATAAATCACTTGGGACCTCTTTATTAATGTTTCATGACATGTCAAATAGATAAAATTTTACTTTGGAAACAAGAGTAAACCAAATGCTTAGAAAACCCCTTAATAACATTTTCTGAAGCAATTATCTAGGAAAAGTACCCATATTTTCTAAATCAAACATGTATCTTGGAAAATTATCCATAATTCTTATCTTTAAAGTCTTTATTACAAGAATGTAAAGTGGTTATCAGTCTCACTGACCTGCTGTATAGCAGAGTGACGATACCATTTTAGATCAGATGACCTTTATTAGAATATTGACTCTTAATACTGATCCTTAATATGACACTAGGCAGATTACTTAACCTATTTTAGTCAGAGGCTTTCTCATGTAAAATGAGAAGAAAAAATATTAATTTTACAGAACTTCTAGATAATAAAATTAAGCAGGACTCTTTTTATAAGATTTGACACAAAATAAAGAGTATTAATGATTGTGAATGTAATATTATACTACACATACTTCCTTAAGTTAAACTATTGCTTTTAAAATCTTTATTGGCATTATTTAGATCTGTGTTGTTTTTTTATAATTTTAAATGTGTGTTATTCTGTTAGGAAATCACTTCTATTTCTTGCACAATTAATGGAGACTCTGAATTCTGAATTTTCAGAGAACAGTAAATTTGAAAATCATAGTTGTAGTACTCTTATCCCTTGTTCTTATTTTACCATCTCATCAGTAATATCTTTGTTAGCCTTAGTCCTAAAAGCTATTTTCATCTTTTCATTCAACTCTGCCATTTTCTATTCCTCATATACCTTGTGACCTTGACACTTGCTTTGAGTAAATATCTGCATTAGAACCCTTTTCCTTATTTTGTAGTACTTTTCTTTATGATTTGTTTCTAAGCTATAATCTGTGCCAGGTCATATGGCCTCTGCATTCATTTCTTTGACTTGTATACCTGTAAAAATACTATAAACTTTCATTAGTGAGCTTGGAACAGAATAAAAATAAAACAAAAAGATTGAAAATTGTCATATTATGTTTAACCGATTCATATACTTGGTAGGGGTTCTAACTCATTCTCAGGAAATACTAAGAAATTATTAAAGTATTTGGGACCAGACTCCCTCCAGTGGTAGAATGACTTACATGTCGTAAGTACTAACACAGTCGTACTGACAACTTGTGCTGATAGCCTGGTCAACTTAGTTTTTTTTTTTTTCCTGATAATATTCTCTCCTCATTGAGGTCCAATCTTGCTTTATAATTTACATGAGTATCCCTTCTTGCCTACTTTTTAATTTTTTTCCTATGCTAGGTTT